TTTGTAATTGCAAACTCTGGGCAGGTTTGTAAATCAGGGTCAGTTAAAGGCCCTTCATGTAAAATGTAGGGTTTCAACGCACAGCCTGACATTGAAACTGTCTGAGATGGTGCACTGAATGTTGGGTTCATTTGAACCCAAAACCCAAAGCAACCCCCTGGCTGGCTGGGCTGCAACTACTTGCAGATGGAAACTGAAGGAAACATTTGCATGGACCCGTTGGGGTGAAACCGCAGAGTCCAGCACTGCTCTGCTTTAAACTGCAATGCTGAAGGAGCCTTCCTAACCCACCTTTCCATCTCCACTCCATGCACTGGTTTTGAATGCAAAGTCTTGCATATGCATTGGGACCTGGTCTGCACTTAGCACAGATGTGAAGGATGATGTGCTTCCGCTTAGTGGCTGGAACAGATAACTTGAGGTTTGCTAATTCCACCCCCTGCTGCACTGAGTTATCACAAGGAGGAGTACCAGATGCTGCAGCCTCACTGGAGAGTAGTCAGGTGCCTTGCTATTAACAAGGGTGCCAATTAGGGGGGGCAGGGGAGGGCGGGAGGCCCCTCTGTGAGTTTCATACAGGAGGTGTGCAAGCTCCCAGGTGGAGCTTAATTACTGCACAGCATTAGTATGAAATGTAAGTTCTGCAGAGGAGAGGTGTCCCTGGAGCAGGGAGTCAGTATTTTGTTTACAAACAGAGGCAGGGTGATTAAGATAAGAAAGGGCTGGTGATTATATTAAAGTTATGGAGGTTTAGCCTGTAAAAGAGGAATCCCTCTGTGGAGGGGAGAGAGGGAGGAGGTGTTGTTTTAGAGAGAACAGGGGATTCAGAAAAAACACAGCAAAGCACTGAGCCTAGGTTACATTCAGAAAAGGGGGAGATTTGGGGGCATAGGTGAAAAGAAGGGGGTCAATCCCAGGGAAGGGCTAACAGTGTATAGAGACGTTCCCACTCTACCTGTGGTATTTATGTGGCCTCATCACCATAGTATCTGAGGCTGCGCCTTACAATGTCTAACCTATTTCTCCTCCCAGCCCCTCGATGAGGTAGAGCAGTACTAAAAAAACCGAGGAGTCCTTGTGGCACCTTAGAGACTAACAAATTTATTTGGGCATAAAGCTTTCGTGGGCTAGAACCCACTTCGTCAGATGGATGAAGTGAAAAATACAGGAGCAGATATAAATACATGAAAGGATGGGGGTTGCTTTACCAAGTGTGAGGTCAGTCTAACGAGATAAACCAAATAACAGCAGGATACCAAGGGAGAAAAAATAACTTTTGAAGTGGTAAGAGAGTGGCCCATTACAGACAGTTGACAAGAAGGTGTGAGTAACAGTAGGGAGAAATTAGTATTGGGGAAATTAAGTTTAGGTTTTGTAATGACCCAACCACACCTACTCTTTATTCAGGCCTAATCTGATAGTATCCAGTTTGCAAATTAATTCCAGTTCTGCAGCTTCACATTGGAGTGTTTTTGAAGTTTTTGTTGTTGAAGAATTGCCACTTTGAGGTCTGTTATTGAGTGACCAGAGAGATTGAAGTGTTCTACTGGTTTTTGAATGTTATGATTCCTGATGTCAGATTTGTGTCCATTTATTCTTTTGCATAGAGACTGTCCGGTTTGGCCAATGTACATGGCAGAAGGGCATTGCTGGCACATGATGGCATATATCACATTGGTAGATATGCAGGTAAACGAGTCCCGGATGGTGTGACTGATGAGGTTAGGTCCTATGATGGTGTCCTTTGAATAGATATGTGGACAGAGTTGGCACTAGGGTTTGGTTTCTAGGTTGGTGTTTTTGTTGTGTGGTGTGTAGTTGCTGGTGAGTATTTGCTTCAGGTTGGGGGGGCTGTCTAAGCGAGGACTGGCCTGTCTCCCAAGGTCTGTGAGAGTGAGGGATCATCCTTCAGGATAGGTTGTAGATCCTTGATGATGCGCTGGAGAGGTTTTAGTTGAGGGCTGTAGGTGACGGCTAGTGGCATTCTGTTACTTTCTTTGTTGGGCCTATCTTGTAGTAGGTGACTTCTCAGTACCCTTCTGGCTCTGTCAATCTGTTTCTTCACTTCACCAAGTGGGTATTGCAGTTTTAAGAACACTCGATAGAGATTCTGTAGGTGTTTGTCTCTGTCTGAGGAATTGGAGCAAATGTGGTTGTATCTTAGAGCTTGGCTGTAGACAATGGATCGTGTGGTGTGGTCTGGATGAAAGCTGGAGGCATGTAGGTAAGTATAGTGGTCAGTAGGTTTCCGGTATAGGGTGGTGTTTATGTGACCATCGCTTATTAGCACTGTAGTGTCTAGGAAGTGGACCCTTGTGTGGACTGGTCCAGACTGAGGTTGATGGTAGGGTGGAAATCATTGAAATCTTGGTGGAATTCCTCAAGGGCCTCCTTCCCATGGGACCAGATGACGATGTCATCAATGTAGCGCAAGTAGAGTAGGGGCGTAAGGGGATGAGAGCTGCAGAAGCGTTGTTCTAAGTTAGCTATAAAAATGTTGGCATACTGAGGGGGCCATGTGGGTACCCATAGCAGTCCCGCTGACTTGAAGGTATAAATTGTCACCAAATCTGAAATAGTTGTGGGTGAGGACAAAGTCACAAAGTTCGGTCACCAGGTTTGCCGTGATGATATCGGGGATGTTATCCCCATTGTACAGATGGGGCACTGAGGCACACACTGACTCAAGGCCAGATTTTCAAAGGTGTTTAGGCACCTAGTGGGATTTTCAAAAGTGCCTAGAAGGTTAGGTGCTTTGTAACCTCCCCTTCCCCCGATGCCTAGCTGCATCTTTGGGTGCCTACAAACCTTTGAAATTCTGTCCTTAAAGCACTGGCCTGGGGTCAGACAGGAAGTCCATGGGGGGAGTAGAACCCAGGTCTCTCGGGGCTGCAGACCAGCCTCTCTCTCTGCTGCATGCTGCAAAAAAAGAGGACTCTGATAGATGGGAGCAAAACCAAGGCGGACAGTTCTCTGAGACTCCAGCAAACAGTCCCAAAATGGAGGTCATGGTTGACAGCATGAAAAGCAGCACAGAGGTTAGGAAGGCTGGAGAATGAGTCAGATGAGAAGAGATCACTTAACTCCCAAGGGGTGGCTGGTTCGGCCCCGGGGTGGCTGGTTCGGCCCCAGGCTGGCTTGTACAGCAATGGCTGCTGGGCAATTTTATATTTTAACTGAAAACCATTTTGTTCAGTCATTTTTTATTCCGAGTTTGAGAAAAGGAAGGAAAGAGAAAGTGTCATATAAGTATCAGATGTGTTTATACCTCAAATTCTTAGGGTTTAAGCTGTATTCAGGCCAATTCCAGAACAAAGAACAGAAACTGCATCCACAGAGTCCATAAAATTGACGATTATTGTCATGATTTGCATTATTCACTGGGCACCATCTGTGTACTCAGCACTGTTCAGAATATGTCAGAAAATTCAGTCCCTGAGCCAATGCATATAAGATGTGTAACTCATGGCTCAGATATTTAAGTATGAAGTATATAGTTATTGACTGCACATGTTATCACATGTTCACTGATGTTTATATCTATGAGTGGAGGCACTGATGGCAACAGAAGTTTTACTTGATTAAGGACTAGAAGATTTGACCCTCCAATTTTCTTTCTAAAGAGCTGCCCAGAGCTGCTGTGCCCATTTATTCTCCTTTCCTGCCTGCAATTGACCTGATATACCTCAGAAGTTTCAGGTTTTTTTCTCAGCTTTAAAATGTAGAATTTTCTTGGTGTTTGGTTTTAAATATTCTCCTGTGAGAAATGCCACTCAGTCGCTGTAGTGTTGTGTTTAAAGGCTAGTTACTTTCCAGGAGGCTCTTAAACAGAAATAAAAGCAGTGTTGCTAACTCTGACTTTTGTCATGAGTCTCATGATAATTGTTTTCCTTAAAGCCCCAGCTCCTGGAGTCAAGTGGAGATGTGATGATTTCAGCCTTCATTCTTAAAGAAAATGAAGTTTCTAGTCTTCGTGGCTGTGGAGAAAGCTTCAAAATGTGACCCCAGTGCACCCTAAAGTCTCAAAAAGCAGAAGGCAAATAAAAAGAATCCCAAATCTGTTGTTTTTACATAATCTCATGGTTTTAAAGTCAATCCCATGATTTTTGGTGAGTCTGATTCATGATTTTTGAACATTTGGGATTGGCAATACTGTGAAAGTGACTTGAAAGTGTCAGTTTCACTTCTGTTTAAGGTTAGTTCTAGTCTATTATTTAGACTAGAGATAACACCTCTAGAGCCCCAGACAGGTGCAGTATAAACTCATGGGGCCTTCCCCTAGTAGGCTGTTTCCAGAGTTAAATGAACTATTCCAATCTTGATGAACTGGAAAAAAGGTGATAGAAAGTAATCTAGATTTTTCTACAATTGTTTCAATTGTATTCAAGAGTTAGTAACAAAGAATATACATTAAAATTTTAAACCTAACCAGTGTTCCGTTAGTGACTGAACATGTTAGTATTAGAGCTGAGCGGGTCTAATATTTATTTAATCCTCTTTTTTTATATAGGAATTAGATACAGTATCCGACCAGCTAATTTCTAAATTATTGTCTACAAAAAAACCCTAGTGTTTTCAGGTGCAAAGTAGCCCTTGGAACCACAGTTAAAGTTGCCGCCCACCGCTCCCCTCCCTCCCCTCCTCCCCCCCCCCCCCAGCAAAATCTGAAATGGCGTCCCTAGCCATTAACCCCAGAAGAGGGAACTTGGGCACTACTTGAAATCAGAGGCTGGCAAGCTAGTTCCACCCCCTAAAATCCATCTGGCAGCGGCCTGGTGTCTGCAGGTTATGAGGGGAGCACTAATACTGGGGGTGAGCAACTCTTAATCAGTGTTAGATTCTCTTGGTGGGGAAGGTGGTTCTTGCTGCTTACAAAGATGTTTAATATTTGCTTAACCTCTTCCTAGCTAAATGCTACTCCAACACCCCTGGCAGTATATAAAATATGTGATGTAGCGCTGTGCGTACCAAAGAGCATATACTTAATATACAGTGCAGGAGGAGTGTGTCTGACATCCACCCCATGCCAAGTCACTACAGCTAGTACATCTCCAGGCTATGCTTCTTAGCATCATCCCCTGCTGCACAGGGGGCCAGAAGTGAAGGGGTTAAATCTGTTCAGTTTGTGAGGTGGCTGTTTTGGAGCATGTTGTGAGACCCGATATGAGCTGCGCTCTGTGGGTAGCTGCGCACTGATAAGGCCCTTTCTCTCGATAGGATTTGGAAGCAGAGCCGCAGCAGGCCCGAGTCCGGTGCTAATCCTGAAAGACCCGTGTGTGTGCTTTGATTTTGTTTTTATCATTTATTTATTTTTTGACGTAGCTGTTTCAGAAACACTAGCCACCTTGGCAAGAGGCAGTGGCGAGGGCTTGTCAAGGAGTGTGAGGGACCTGGACACTCAACACCCTTTGGTTTCCACTGGGAATTGGGTACCTGACCCCTTTGGCATGGCTGTTGGTGGGAAGCTTGCGCCATTCCTGCTAGCACGGTGCTTGGAGTCATCAGAATGACACATCCCCAATTCCACGAGCACCAAATGTCACTCGGATAGTGTGATGGGATGGAATTTCAGCTGAACACCAGGTAGGGTGACCAGACGGCAAGTGTGAAAAATTAGGACAGAGGTTGGGGGGTAATAGAAGCCTATGTAAGAAAAAGCTCCAACAATCGGGACTGTCCCTATAAAAACGGGATATCTGGTCACCCTAACACCAGGGAAAACTCCTGGGACTGAGCTCTATTAGAGTGGAACAGTCTCACTGACCTCAATGCCCTTGACAACGTTGCCCCAGAACTCTTCACTAGTGGTAGCAGTGGGGGATGCTGCAGTGTGTACAGAGCTTGGGTGTCTTTACTGCTATCATCTGAGCAAGGTTAGGCAACTTGGTGCTAAATCCACCTCAGCCCTGTTTGCACTACATCTTGCTGCACCACCGGTGAATTACAAGCACCATGTTTGCCAGTGGAGCTGCCCCCGTTATCAAAGCAGTTAAAGCCCTGTTGCTTGAGTGGCTTGAAATGCAATAAGACAAAGCAATGGGGAACATACTGAAGGGAAGAATTCTGCTCTGGTAGGGGGGTGGACCTAATAAGTCTATTCCATTTTATTTATATTCTCAAATAGCCATCCTCTAGCATCACTCGTGCTCCTGAGCCACATCGGCAGTGCTGCCACCCCTGTGGTGTGTCTTAAGGAATGTAAACCCATTATATGGCATTTCAAGCCAGGAATATGCTCCCTTCTTCTTTCTTATGGCCAGGGCCGGCTCCAGGCACCAGGCACCCAAGCACATGCTTGGGGCGGCACCTGGTAAGGGGCGGTGGGGGGAGCGCGGCGC